ACGAGGAGTAAGTGCACATTTGCTTACAGTGACTAAGTTCTGGGATGTGGCATTTGCTTGAGAAACATCCTGATTGCCCAGGTCAGGTTTTGCTGTTTACATCAGGCAGCAAGAACCCTCTTATGTACAGCATTGACTCTAATCTTCGACGAAACAGACGCGGGGACATTTTTCACTAGGCGATATGAAAAGACGAAGAAACAAGTTGATGTTATTCTGTGGCACGACATGACATTTCCCGATAGCGTACCTCCAAATGTAACATGATTGCGTGCTCTTGTATTATAATTAACTCGAAACTCTTGAAAGTTATAGTAAAAAGAGACAAGCAGATCTCGATTGTGGTTTAAAAACGAACATCAGCCAGTCTTAACTGGATTGGACGATGAGGGGTTCAGTTCCCGGCAGGAGTAAGGGATTTTGCTTCTAGCCTCTGTACAGATCAGTTCTGGATACCCAGCCTCCTACCCAATGGGAACCGGAATCCTTTCACTGGAGATAAAGCCAGCCAGGCGTTGTTAGATTTCCTATTTTTCGTTTTTTTCAAAGTGTTAGCCTGGGTAACTAGGTTAACATGAACGCTCGCCCGTGTTATAGATCTATATACGTTCACATCATGCAATTTCTAATAACACAACTCCACTACGGAGCTATTTCAGTTAAGGTTTCGTAAATATGTTATCCGATATTGAGCTTTGCGTGTTAGGTCGCCCGGAATTCTGAGAGGCAAAACCAAGTCGCCTTGGTACCCAAATGTAGGACACAAGAAAAATAATTGAGGCAATTTTCGGCCGCGGCTATACTCAATGTTAGTGCGCACCGTCTTTCATAACCATGGAATCGATTATGACACGCAACATATCGATTGGGTTGAGGAGCAACTCCGACTGTTTTAATCAAAACAAGAATACAAAGCGCAGACGTAACTAACGATCTCCAATTCTATGAAGAAGTGTCCTTGGTAAGGAGATCAGTCACCCACCGATCTAGACAAGAAATTATTCGCTTTTTTATGGAACCCCAGTCCACACACTCCAACCTCATTTCCCTAAGATCTTTTTTAATATAATCCTCCCATCTATACCTAACATTTCCGAGTGATCTTTTCTCTTCAGAATTCCCAACCAACATTTTGTACGAATTTCTTGTCTCCCCATTCATGTGTAACATTTCGTAACGTGTTGGTGTTTGCATTATTTTAGTAGCGAATTCTTCTGTTCTGTGTGTGATGTTGTTTGTTACTCCGCCAAGCAAAATCTTTGAATACTGTAGCCATTTACATCGATCGAAGAGCTCGGTCTAGCCACAAATTGTCGGATATGCGGTCTGCATATCTTTGCAAGGAATGGGGAAACTGATATCGTCGCTAGTACACGAAAAAAGAAGGAAGAAATGATCTTTGAGGTTCGATGTAGCAGACTGTTTCGTTCATTTCTTATCAGGGTATTAAAGTAGGTATTCATGAGAGAAATGCATACACAATTTTTTTTTTTCGGAAATCCTGAAGGGAAAAGACTACTTCGTAGATCTAGATGTATACGATAAGATAATACTAAACTGGATCTTAAAGAAACGTGGAGGAATAATAAGAAATGCATGTGCTATTTTAGTCGGAAAACCTGAAGGAACGTAGCTAGAATTGACAGTCTGAAGGAAACCAGATATTATTCGTGTGATCAACCAAAGAGAAAATTGATATTGGAGAAGTAATAAATGCACGTATAATTTGTGTCCGAAAACCTGAATATGAGGGGCTACTTTGAGAGGACAGCATCAGAATAAATCTTGAAATACGTGGACTGGAGCGGAATTAAAGTTTTGAAAATCGTGTAATCCTATGTCGTTAAGAATGTGAGGCTAGCGATTGGCTTCACGCTACGGCTATCTTTAGACCGTTGGAAGATTCGCTGATAGAAACTGAGTTGGAGACTTTGTCTCGGGTCATTTCTGAATGTTGTGGTGCGAAAGACATTTCAAACATTTGTGTCCGGAATCCGATTTAACAAATGAAAGAAACGAATTTAAACGCGAGGGACTTTCGATTATGTGTGGGTGTCGACATTTTGAAACGGTATACGAGCGTTGCCTTATTTTCTCTCTCTTTTTTTCCCCCGTGATGGATATTAAATTGGAGTAGTCGCTCCCAGTTCTTTGAGAAACAGACGCGATATTCTCCACACAAAAAAATGCATTTATATCTTCACTTACTGACAACCGTTCGTGAATATTCCAAGCTTCTCTTTTCCCTCCAGAAATTTGGCTACTTCAGCAACAAAGTTGGTGTTTATACATTACTCTGATATTAAACCATTAATTAGTGTTTCTAAACTAGGAAGCCATGCCATATTATACTCGGCGATCCGTGATTTATCCACATACAAACAGAGGTACACTTCTCTCCCATTCAGTTTTCGTGTAACTAATTCGAATCCTTTGTAGCTACTCATTAAAGATGTGCATGTTCAGCTTATGGTATCCTTCTGTCTTCACTGTCTGAACAGGAAGCCTACTAGGTGGATGACATATATGAATTACTATGTTTCTGAGTCAGCTTTCTGGTATATTGCGCTCTGTAGTCTCGTGGAAGTTGGCCGACGTTTCAGAGGTGCGTACTACATCATTTCTTACCGCCCTGATGGTGGAGGCAGTACGCACCTCTGAAACGTCGACTACATGGCGCATTATATTAGCTGCAAGAAACTGAAATCTCACCCGGATGTTTCTTTTTTAAATAAAATAAAAGGAGCGACCAACTGGAGGTGTTTCGTACATATTTTGATCTTCGGTGGCTTTTAAAGTACGCAGGATGAAAACAGATTTTGACTAGAATAATAAATGTTTATGGAATTATTATTTTCCAGATGTCTTTTTGAAACTCAGTTAAAATCGTTATTGTCTCATGATACATCTTGACTAAATAACTAATTCCTGGGAACAAGGTCCTTCTTGAGAAGCTGATTGTTGTTTAACTAGTCAGAAAGTTACCGTCTTTTACGAAACCCTAGGGGTCTTTGCCATGTTCACAGGACCCCGCCACTTGTCCGTATCCAGAACAAGATAAATCCAGTCCAAAACATCCCACCCCATATTTCCTTATCCATTTTAGTATTTTCTTCATTTGCGTCTAGGTTTTTCAGATGGTCTCTTTCCTTCCGGCTTTCCAACCAAACTTATGTATTTATTTACCCTGTGCGTGCTTTATGCCTAGTCCATCTCATTCTTAATTTGATCACGTTTATAATATTTAGTGAAGAATAGGCCTGCAGATTTTGGAGCTCCTCGTTATAGTTCTATTCAGTATCTTGTCACTTCACCCCTCTTATATACAAATAATCGTTTTCCTCAGTTATCTCAACACCCATACAAGGCAGGTAATTCTGATAGCTGAGCTACTATTAGCTTCTCAAGAATGACTTCCATCTATGTGGTTTGGTAAGGAGGATCACATGTAATGTAGGCACTAGAACAAAAGCTTTACCTTAACCCTTTACAGACTAGTGGTAAATATTTGTACCACCTGCTTCAGCTCTCAGGATCTCGGCTCATAACCTACAGTCCCGTTTCGGTCGATTAAATTTTTATTTAATTTTTTCACCCTCGTAGTAGATTATTTTTTTAAAATACAGTGATATGTTATATTAGAGGTAGGTGTGAATATTGAATTTTTAGACAAAAATATTATTTTGATTAGTCTTTCTCTGTAAAATGTTAAATTAGCTCAATTTATGTAAATAATTTCAGTTGTATATGTTACAAATACCTTGCACAGCATCATGTATCCTTGCGTTTATGAAGTCTCAACTTGTCACCTTTATGATGCTACAAATTCTTTGCACTAAGGGATTCGAACTCTGGACTCACCCTGCAATGTGACGCTTTCAATTGTCAGTTTCCAAGTCACCTGCCTGATGGGAGAACACGTCTACCTCGAGAAGGCCTCAAACTTGACTGCTCGCCGACACTCAAGACCATTCTTTACCCTGCCACCAGAGCCATCTATCGATTCCTCTCTTTGGGCGCCATGATTTCGCATTCCACGGGAGCTCGAAATCAGCATATCCCAGTAATTTGGAAATTAGTCTAGTTACCTAATTATTATTATCTCCATCGTCAGTAGTTGCTATAGTAGAAGTAGTAGAAATTACGTTTTTGCCCGTCGATGTTAACGGGAATAAAAATATATTATGTTGAACAGTCGAGTAGTAGAAATTACGTTTTTGCCCGTCAAGGTTAACGGGAATGAAAATATCTTATGTTGAACAGTCATATAATTTATTGCAACATTATGTTTGCAAATACTAAATTATTTTCCTTAAGATATTGCCTTTTGAAAAGGACTTTTGCGTCTTCTACTATGTCCGAGGATTTTCTTCGTTTTGATGGTTTCATACAAAACTTCGCTTTGCAGGAACGCCATTTCATTTCTAAATTGTTGAAATATAAGGGAACTGTAACGAAACCTTCTATTCGTGATTAGATTTATCAGCGAGACTCTCATCTGGGATATCTCCCTGATGCTGGAGGCAGTTAGCGCCTCTGAAACGTCGGTTAACTTATGTCTGATTACACGGCGCAACTATCTAGAAGTCAGCCATCTTCAGAAGGAATGGTGTTCAATAAGAGCATTGTAACTTTCAAAATAATACTTTAATTCTGCCGGTTTTCCACAAAACAGTGTTTGGGTTGAAGTGAATCGCTTATCTTCGCTGATTAGATAAAATAATTGAACACAGTTGAGGAGTTGCTGTAACTGAAGATAATCAATATGCCAAGGTCATTCCACGTATTTTCGTCTCGGAGTGAAAGAAATGGAAACGAACAGTTGAAGTAATCCATCTCTGTGGGAGGTGAGGAGGAACTTTTGGTGAGCACTGTACAAACTGCGGATTGACACAAGTGACAGTTCCTCTTTACCATTTAGTGCGACTGTACAGTAGTAAAACATGGGTAGAAAGTAAACCTGAATTAAATTTGAATTTATCGAAGATTGTCTTTGGTTCCGTGAATATTGAATATAAAATTGCTTTTAACACGGGAAGTAAAATGAAAATCAGAAATTTATTTCGGTTTTATTGCTTTGTGTTGGTATAATTCTGTTCCTAGCTGTACTTTTATTTAATATGTCTGAGTAAAAACACTGCAGCGAAAAGTAGGAACGTTTAATCGTGCCGTCGACAAGATACGGAGGATAATTTAATGGTCTACAGTAAAAAGTAAATAGCCTTTTTCTTTCTTTCTTTTTCTTTTCTGTCTGACGACAGGTCCATATGAACCGGATCCTTCCATCCTTTTCTCGGACTGGGACCTGTTCATATACGTTCTTGGCAGATGATCCAGAAGTGGTTTGCCATTGCCTTCTTCTGTGTGTGAATGGAGTAATTGAAACCGGGGAAGCCCCCGGAGGAAACCTCCGTGTTGCCTAGACCACGGCCTTGCCCAACACAAGTTATAAATTCGGGCACCGTCGGGAATCGAACCCGAGACCTCCAGGATTACAAGGCTACTTTGCAGTGTCTCGGCGTCCCTGCATCCAGAAGACTGTAAACCCATGAATATTGAACTGAAATATCTCTGGAAAGGCAAATACTTTGGTCTGAAGATGACTCTTCTAGAATGATGCACCGTGTAGTCTGGTAGTTTACCGACATTTCAGAGGTGATTGATTACTGCCCCGATCTCCATGTTGATGGAGGCAGAAGGCTCCTCTGAACCTAAACTTATACTAGACTAGACGGTGCAACGTCCCTAAAGACAGCCATTTTAACACGCTTTTAGTGTATGTTGGTTACAGTACCTGTGTTTCGCAGAATAGACACATCGGAAGTGTATTTTAGAAGAGTTTTCCATTGGTCTTTGCCTTTTGAACCTACTGTTAGTGTTAGATTGTGGCCTTCCAAGTTCGTAACCGACGTTTCATTAACGTTTTGCCTTACACATTAGTGAGTAATGATGTTACAGAAACAAGTAAGGAGAAAGCTGTCTCTGTAACACGATGTGCTTAAGTTCTTTGTCATTTTCTCTGATACACATGAGGCAGACAATCAGTGCTAAGTAATCGAATTTTTGCTGACAGCTGTGACAAGTGGAGAAAGGTTGTTTTTATGAAAAGACGCTTTCGCTAAGTTTTTTTTTTTTTTTGCGTTCGATAACTTACTCAGACACACCTCGGCCTTCTCCAAACACCGCTTTGTGATAATGTCAGAAATAAATTAGGCCTGTTTGAAGGAAATGAATTCGGGATGTAAGATTATTTGAAATAGACGGCCTCCGTCAATTGAGAGTGGATCGGCGTAACCAATCTTCGATATACGATGGGTTCCAGACTGTTATTATGTCTCGTGTACGTGCAGGAGAAGTTGCCGCACTGTCAAGGCGTTAGGAATACAGTCGAATAATATCCAGATCTGTATTTCAGCTGATATATCTCCGGTTCTACATTCAGTAACCTTTGAGCCAAACTTTGACATGTTTTATTGTTACTTTCATGTTCACTTTTATTATTTTATAACGAAATGTTAGCATTTAAGCCACATACCCGATGATGATGACATCCCGAAATCAGTATCACGCGTGGTTTCAAAAATCTGTTTTTATTTATATGTGACATAAAACATTAGCTGGGTTGACACTACCCCAGTTTTTGTATTTACCACTTGAAATGCCTAGACATAGATTTGAGGATAATATTAAAATGGATCGTAAAGATGTAGAATGGGAAAGTGTTAATCTATTTACCTGGCTTCGAATACTGGTCAGTGGTAGACACTGGTAAGCATGGTAAAGATCGTTTCATCCGCCTTGATCTGATCATCTTAATATTAGGTGAATTATGGAGCTCCTCGTTATTCAGTTTTCTCAGTACCTTGCTCTCAAACACCTGTGTGTTCCTCCCTTAACCAAGATTCACACCCATGTAAAATATCGGTTTTGTGTCCGACGTCGCAGTCATTTTTATGGATGTGCTGAGGTAAATGGCGTAGGCCTGCAGTCAGTCAGGTTTTCTGTAGACGACACAGAGCCGCCATGGCTACAGGACGGGGTTAGTTCGGGAGCCCCTCCTCATCATCACCCCTCGAGGATCGATATGGGCCCTGTCTGAATGTGCGGGCAACCAGCAACTTGAACCTTCACATTTCAGCCGTTCAGCCTTGTTATGGTGTCATGGATTGTCGTAGTTTCTTCTACAGCGCCTGTTCTTGAAGACCTTTCACTAACACCTGAAGGAGCGAGACGGGCCCTTGAGAACGCGGCAATGAACTTGCTGGTTCTATATACGGAGAGGATTTCGTGGACAGCTGAGCAACTATTGGCTTCTCAGTAAGAACTCTTCTTCGTAGAGTTAATTCAGAGAGATATGAAGGTCTTTAGTGTATTGTGAGTCAGTTTAATTCGGTGCATACGCTATTTTTATAATGTCCACTTTAATATTATCTTATGCGATCCTGTCTATAGGAAAAGCAGTAGATACGAAACGATCTTTGTACCAAGAACATAAATCGATAGCAAAACCATTTTTGCAGAGCTAGTTTTCCTGTTCTGAAGGGAAGAGACCGCTGGGGAGACCTAGACGTAGATGGGAGGATAATCTCAGGCGGGATCTATGGGAGATAGGAGTTGAAGGAGATTGGATTTTGTTGGCCCAGGACAGGGTCCGGTGGAGGGCTTTGGTTAATTCGGTGATGAACCTTCGGGTTCCCTAAGCCACCTAGTTATTTAGTTAGTTTTCCTGTTCTTGCCTTTTTCCTTATTGAGCTGCTACGTAATCCTCGCGAAAATATGCTGAATTCAGCTGTGGGTTATGTTTGCAGGTGGCAGTGAAGATTTTGTTCCTGAACACAGACGTTGAAGAAGACGGAGAATCAATCACCGTCTTTACACGGCAGAAATTCGTTATCAGCTGAAACAGGAGTTATTCCGGTGAGCCTCTTTAAATAAATTTTGAGACCTTTTGTGATAAAACCCAGTAGTAACTAAACGTACCACCTGCTTTAAAGGACCATGACCATTTCCTTTCAAATCCTTCCCAGTCACTAACCTAACCTCGGTCATACGTTGGAATAGAGACGTTAATTGCGGAACAATCAGTAGCGATGTTTGTTTCTGTTGGTCACACAATAGTATGATTATGGAACTGGCGAATTGTGATAAGAAGAGGAAAAAGGCGTGTCCTTTTCCTGATTAGAGTGACCTAACGCGCGGTCTTGTCCTTGTATCGCTTGAACTCTGAGAGCCCAGTTTCGAATCTTGTGCAGGGAACGAAAGTTGGAGACTTGGACTCTCGATATGTTGAGACATGCACAAGTTCAGTTTAACGTGATTTAGAAGGCAATTATACTCGGTCATTCTCGTTTGAGTAGCCACGCTTATTTTTTCAGACTTGCTATGGACATCGTCATACCATATCATCGTAGTCTTTTCACATTTGCATAATTTGCATAAATTACCTTTGGCATAACATCATGACCAAATTTTATCAAAATCCAACCAGTCACGAACGACTTGTGAAATTCGAGCTGACGGACGACGGGTCTGAAACGGTAGTTTCGATAGTGATCAGTTAGGTTAGGTTAGGTTAGTTCAGTTCAGTTCAGTTCAGTTCAGTTCAGTTCAGTTCAGTTCAGTTGTCAGCTACTGAGGAGATTAATTTCTTTACGTTTCCGGGAAAGTCTTTGTCTCCGTCTTCAGTAAAACATTAAACTGAGTGTTTACGTCTGTTTCTGTTTTGCCCATTTAAACACAGTTTTTAAAATTATCATAAAATACTCGTCATTCATTCGAATCGCCGATATATTCAGGATATAACATCACTCGCTTATGCAGGCTGATTTAAAAACCGAAGAACAGGGCAGTAGAAATCTGTTTTAAAACAACTAATTGTACCAGCAAGATTTAATCCTGGGTTTAATAAGAACATGCTGTGTCGCGTGTTAGTGTTAGTTGAGTAGCCTAGACAGGCGATGACTAGAATCTCTTCAAGGTCATTACGGCACGCGACGCCGCTAGAGGGAGCTGGAACCAATCCCGTTCTAGCAGTAGCAGTTGTAACAAGAAAATAGTTTAACAAGTTCAGTGTGCGCCAAAACGCGGGGAGCGACAGGTGGCTTGTTGACATCGGTCGAAGAAAGGAAATTTGTACCATTGTCATCAAAAGACGAGAAGGTAAAATGTCTTTTATAGTTAATTACTTGTTATAATCCATTGTGACGTAGATCTCCGTCACGTGACGAAAACTGTCAATACAGTGAAAGAAAGTGAAGTGTCTCTCCATGGCACTGCCGTCATCACGAAGCTCGTCGAGAAATTCGTTTCCTTTGTGGAACGCGAGGGACCAGTAGACCACATCCAGAAGCAGCTTCTTACTTCGTTTATCGAAGATGCGTTTAAATATTAACACATTCCCTCTTATCCACGACTATATTTGCTCAAGCGACTTGTCTCATTTGTGGAAATATATTTCTCATAGCCCTCAATCTCTGTTTCTATCCGAAAGACGGAGACCAAATTGAATACTCTGGTAAGATCATTGTGTCGTATTTTGCAATTGTTAATTTGTTTATGTGTGCACCGTCAGCGAATGATTAAAAGGTTCGAAACTGAAACTTCCCGAATTTTATCAGCTTTTTTAGCCCTTCGAAGCCGAAGCTCGTCTAAATAATACTTAGACATTTTGTATCTCAAAAAGACGCTGGTTAACCCTAATTATTCTGAGAATCAGACGAAAGCCATAAAAATATACTTCGTGGGTAAAATGCAGAATTTTTAATTGTTAAAACAACCTAATGGTAGAGGATTCTTTGACGACACGTTCTTCAAGCGCCTGAGCCCTGCGGGTCCCAACTCTTCGTTGGCTAGATCGGTAGGACTCCTTGTACGAGGGCTCGGCCCCTCGCAAGGCCTCTACCTGCACACAGGACAGCACAACACAGTAAATGGTAGAGGACAGAGGTAAATTTAAAAAGTAACCTGGATAGTTATTTTAAACATGTGCAGATTTACAGCTTCCTTTCTTCACCTTCGTTGCTTGACAACTTCTTGGAAATTACTGAATACGTGATTCACAGATGCCGCTACCAGAACTACAAAATTTACAAAGAAATGCATATTTTAATACTTTCCGCATATGACAGTGCTTTTGGGGGGGGGGGAGTTGTTGCATTTCTTAAGCGAAACAAAGTGTTCGTTATCATCTCACGATTCCAGTCCGTATCTTTTCGCTTTTCCAATTTCGCTGTTCGGCGAGTCACGAAGATAAGATAAAACTTGATTGATACAGATTTGCAGCATCCTTGACTCTCTTTTGTACATGTTTCTAGAAACTGTTAATCGTACGAAAGTATCCTCTAGGCCAGTGGTTTTCAACCTGGGGTACTCGTACCCCCGGGGGCACGTGAATTTTTTTTAAAAATATATATATTATGATAAAAACTGAATAATCAGTAATGTAATTTATTTAATTTATTTTAGATGTAGATTATATACTATGTATAACTTGGATTATACACCAACAACTTTGGGGGTACAAAGTTGAAGAGAAATTATATCTGGGGGTACGCGAACAAAAAAAGGTTGAATATCACTGGCCTAACAGATGGCTGTCTTCGGGGTTGTTGTGCTAGTCTTGGTAGTACCTTACCGACGTTTCAGAGGTGCTTTTTGCCACCATCTTCCTTAATACTGAACTCTTTGGTTATACTTCCCATACCGATCTCCGTTTTCATTCACATGTTGGTGTTTATTTTGAAATGAGGTAATGAAAACGCTATATTTAAACTTGGCCTCAAACATATGTTAAAGAATTTGTTGTTTACTACGCACTGATCCTTCATCATCTCAGTAGGAGCTTATTTTAAGAATTCGCAGAGTTGCTTAATAATACACACTGACAACTTTAAGTCAAGACAGTGTTTTTCTTATGGGTTTGTGACGTCTTGTGGACTTACAGAGAGGTACGTAGGTACCAAAGTTTCGGAGAAACGTAATATATCCATGCTCAGGGCTGTATGTTTCTCCGAAACTTGGGTTATCAACCTACATATTCACACGAGGTTACAACCCAGAAGAACAACATCGACGTCTCTACCACCGTCAGAACCTCATATCTCACATATTTACCTCACCTTACGCCATTGGTGTAATTTTCTCGTATGTAATTTCAATCCAAAGTATTCTGAAACTGTTAGACTGTTTTGAAATTCAAACAATATTAATTCGATCCGGTGGGACGTTACATGTTTGACGATCTTGAAGTGTCAATACCACCTCTTGAGATGGGGTTATTATCATGAATTATGATTAAATTGTTTAAGGATTTGACAGGAATCAGCAGGGATCCATTTTAATATACGAATATATATATAAACCTTTCAGGATATCCAAAATAGATTTTGAACTTGGGACCTCCGGAATATTAAGCCCAGATCATAACCCCAGAAATTGATAGATCGATTGAATAACGAGAAACTGATCTAATGTCGATATATGTCAGTGCGTTAAACTCTGTCCCCAGGCCACCGGAGAGGCCTTCCTGGTGCGATTTGGTCCCTCTGCAAGAAACTGAGCGTTTGAGAACCGGTCAAGCGTGTTTCAACTTGTTCTGGCTTCGGAGAGACATTTACGTGACGAAACTGCTGAAGAAGACTCCGTACACAAATGTGCATTACGGAATAAACTGTCGGTTTCATTGTACACAATAAATTATTTACGCTGTGCGACACAACTGCTGTCTGAGAACCGGATTAGAAACACGCTCCAAAATTAGTTAACATCCCTACTCTCCGAAATATCGTGAAATTATTACTGGGCGGGTAATCGGGGTAAAGTTCCCGACAGAGGAAGAAATTTCCCCTAGCTTCTGCGTCTCTGGAGTTGACCACTCACCTTCGCCTATTGTCGGGGTGAAGAAACGGTGGAGCTATACCTCCACTACCGCATTTGTCTTCGCGGATTGGTGATTGACAGGCGAAAGCAACTTTTGGGTCGTATCTCTGTTGGCCTGGAGGAGGGGGGGGGTTATTTATAGAGGCTTGTTGCATCATCCAATGAACTGGATTATCATAGTAAGCAAATAGTCGTGTCTTCGTCATGCGAACTCGATTAATGAAGTTGTGCGACGTTGATAACAAAAGGAACTCGAGAGCGAGGCCACAACTTACCAGTGATGCCAATTAGAAGATGGCGAGAATACTGAAGTGGCCAGTTATATAACGAAATAATTAATTACAGATCAGCACCAACACGTATTCTGTTCATTCGGCTAATTTTACGACGTTTTTACCATTTTCTGAGATAATTTGTAGTTGAAGAAGTTTAGAAACTGACGTTGGTTTCACCGAACACATTCAGGGGATTGTATCTTAAACTAGGGTGCGGCCTCTGCATTTAGCTGCCTTCTTGATTAGGCTTTCCTAATTATCTTAACATGCTGCTGTACACAGGACAGCACAACGCAGAAAAACGCGATCAAACATCCATGGCTTGAGTGGGGTTCGAACCCACGGTCCCAGCGACCAAGCGGCACAAGACCCACGCCTCAGACCGCGCGGCCACTGCGGACCCCACAGTTGGAATAATGCCCTTAAATATTTTAAATTAGAAATTTTCATCCTATTCATTGCCGTGAGGGCAGTAAGCTAAGCTGTGACCGAATTTGTGAATTTGAGTGTTCTTCATCTGTTTACTGTGTTTATTACTAGTAGTGTTTTGAATTCATTGTGTTTGTTACGTAATGGGCGCGAGGGCCCTTGTTAACGTTGCATCGATGTCTTTCAACGTCAGGTCCTAGGAAATGAATCATAACGGAACACTGAGCTGCGCCGAGTGTAGTGACTCACCTCTCTACTGCGCAGGTCCGTTGTAATCAGTTGTTGGCTGGCAAACGGATGGGTTATGGTAGTATTACATACTCATCTTCGAATCCCACTCAAGCCATGGATGTTTATCCACGTTTTTCTGTGTTGTGCTGTCCTGTGTACAGGTAGAGGCCTTGCGACGGGCCGATCCCTCATTCAAGGAGTCCTACCAACTGTCATTAGATCAAAGCCGACGAAACGTTGGGACACGCCGTGCTCAGGCACTTGAAGATCGGGTCGTTCCCAGTATCCCAGTACATACTCATCGGGTCCAACATCTTTAGCCCTCAAATTAATGCGGTTACTGTGATGGTTAAGGGTATAAAATTAAATGTATGCACTACTCAGAATGAAATTATTGACCAAGTTCCCTTTTGCGTTATTTGCGAAGTCTTTATTGAGCTCACTAGTCAAGAAATTCTTAGCAAATGGCAGAAGGCTGGGAATTTGACTAGCTGATCGTATTGTTATTAGCGTCTCAATAATGGAGATGGTTGTCTAGTTCCGTTTGAATTGAATATAAAGTCAGGAGTTTGCCTGTCCGGTTTGAATATAATTTGAATTCGCTTAATTGCTCTTAATAAGATTAGTGCTGAAACGCACTCAACATGACCCAGAACGTGAGGTATGTGATTATAAATACACGTTTGTGTCTCAGCACTTTTTCTGCACAAACATCGATTTACCTGGTCAGTGACATCGTCATTCGACTTGTGACGTGCGTGCTGTGACGTAGATCACGTGATGCAACGTTCGTGTTTCCGGGAACAAACAATAATCATCCCAAAGGAATTGATGTGTCGCCACATAGCTCGGTTTGTAACACGTTCTGCATACATTAATATATGTACAGTAAGTTTTTGTTCGACATTAAATTAGGAAAGTGTTGCTTGTAAATAAAAATAATGAGGTAATTCATAATAAAAGCTAAATATATTAATTATTGGACTAAGTTTTTACGTAAACCGTGCATCCCGTCTGCCATTTTGTGGTATAAACCCAGTATGTTTGAATTTCCCACTGGCGTATGAATACGGGAAGTACGTTGAAAATAGAACCGAGGAACTTTTTAGTGATGACGTAATGAATAAGTCACCAAATACGCTAAGCCATCCACTTTCGAGGAGTAGGTAGACGGAGTTTATGGTGTATGGAGAGTTAAACAGGGAGAGGAAATAGTGGTGTAGTGAATCATATTGTGTTTTGTGTCCGCTGTTTGAACAAAGGCTCTGGACTGTCGTCACATCCCAACGTTGTTGCTGTTGGTAGAATTGATATTTCGTGAACTGCCCGTCGTTGATGGCAAGAATGGGGGTTGAAGAGGACATTTCATTGGAACGGGGGTGTAAGTTGGTTAACACGAAGGCAGGCATTGTTATAGCAAGGTTTTCCTACAACCTTATGGATGCTGTTGTGAGGGCTATCATATAGAATACTTGTCCCTGTTATCATACGAAACTTATATTTTTAGGTACAATAATTTGTGCTGGTCTGTACGTGTCATCGTAGTGTAAACAGTTCCTTGAACTTTATTATTATTACTTGGTCTTTACATTCTTGTTTGTTAATTAGGTTCAAATCCATGTGCAGATAATTTAAATTGTTGTTTTTTGTATTATAATCACACATTGACCGAATGAAACACAAAGGTGGGTGTGTATTTATGGAAGAATATAAGATAACTGAAAGTGGTGCCTAGTTATGGCACCTTAAATACGCAGAACCTTACCTGAGTCCAAGTAACAACACTGCATGACGAGGTTAGTATTATATTAAATCGTATGCGTCCATGTTTTTGATGTTTGCAGTAGTCAGTGCTTTAGATCAGTGGTATTCAACCTTTTTTGTTCGCGTACCCCCAGATATAATTTCTCTTCAACTTTGTACCCCCAAAGTTGTTGGTGTATAATTCAAGTTATACATAGTATATAATCTACATCTAAAATAAATTAAATAAATTACATTACTGAGTATTCAGTGTTTATCATAAAATAATATATACATTTTTTAAATTTCACGTACCCCCGGTTGAATACCACTGCTTTAAATTATTTGAGCCATCATGTCACTCGTCCTTGAGCCGTGCACCAAAGTATTGTTCGAAATCTGGTTGATCCACGTGTATGTATGCAGAATTGGACTTTCTTGATCATTTACTGAACTGGAGAAATTCCCTTAAAATTATATAAACATTTTCATTGAAATACATTTGAACATCCTTGCTTATCAGGTGAATTTTTGTCATGTATTTTCTCAATTTAAGTATCAAAACTTATAATGGGTCTCCCCCTAATGATTACCTATAACTGCAATGCCCTTGACGTATTTTCGCTTCACGTTTTTCTCATTCCGTTATAAATCGTATATTTCTTCGTCATCCTGTATATTAATAGTATTAACTCTCGAGTAATTTGGTATTCTATGTAGAGTAATAAAGCGGCAACGATTGAAGATTGAGCTCATTCTATCACTTCCGTTCAGTCTGTTATAGTTTTCGTGTGAAAGTAGTTTCGGATCTTAAAGTGAAAATACTTGATTCGCATGTTTTAATTGTTCCACAAGTACTAAGTACCCGCCATCGTATCACGAGTTGAATTAAATTGTTATCTTAGTTTGAGTCCTTGATATGATTGTTGATCACTTCCAAACGGGAGACAAGTGTTAAGTGTTAATCGGTAAGGAGGAGAGAAATAACAGGCGAACATTAGTTTATATTTCCACCTTCACTAAGTAAACATTCTTGTTGTTTCATGTATTTTACAACATTGCGACATTTCAGTAACTAAAGTTGGGATGAAAAAAGCGTATGACGCGACAAGCTGATAGTCTAACGGAATGGCGGTAGAGGTCAGAAGTGCTGCAAAACTACGGAACTACTGCGGTAAAGAATCAGCCAAAATCCCCAGTGTTTTTCTATATTTTATTATTTGCGTGTCAGTGATAGGTCACCCAGAAGATAGAAAGGGTGTTGACATAAACTGAATACAAATTTTTTATATAAAATTTGTAGACGTTTATTATAGTACTCTGTGCTTTCCAGCATCTTCACAAATATCAACAGAACTCCAAAGAAAAAGTGAATTATGTCTTAACCAGAAGTAATTATTGTCAAACTCCAGTAATTTAGTATTGATGTGCCTTTTGACCGTCTTTTGTAATATGAAATGTTGTCTTAAAGAGAAACATAAACAATATGTACCTGGAAGAAACTACGACATCTGATATCTTTAAAATATTTTTGTCTATGTGGTGAAGCTAGCAGGAGTTATAAATTAATATATTCTACTATGTAATGTTCGATTTCTGTGCATAATTTCCTGTAGAGCTTATAACTATAGTAACTGTTGGACACAACCTCTGAATTTTCACATTTGTAATTGCTGACATTTGCTTCTATATAATTTCTACTAGTACCAGTGTTTCAGAGGAACATAGCCCAGGAGACGGTTGTCCACTGTACCATCAATTTTGATGCGTAGCGAATGTTTTTCATTGTATTTGTACATTTGTTGGAAAATTTCTGTAAACTTCAATTAAAATGGCTTACTGCCATCTGAACCTTTGTTATTCTCTCACTTTTGGTAACACACATTAATTTGTATGTTTGTGTTTTGTAAAAAAAATAATGCCACTGTGATGTACCGTTGCATACCGCAACAAAGAAAAGCCCTAGATATACATATAGTGTGACTTTACTTTTATTTTGATTACAGGAATACAGTATGGAAGAAATCAGCACAGAAAATTATCCACAATCATCTAATCTTATGTCCTTCAATGCTGAACAGCTGGGCCAGCTTCCAGATGGAGATAAGACTGATAAAGTTAGCAATTCAGCCAGTCAGACAGATGATAGATTCAGTTTCGATGTTGACAGCGTCAACGCCGCAAGATGATAGATTCAGTTTCGATGTTGACGGCGTCAACGCCGGGGCCGAAGAAGAGGAAGGAGAGCCAGTCAGTCCGATAGAAAGTGACCCAATGGAAGTGCCAAACATTTTGAAACCAAGAGAGAGGAGGGTTTCAGATGTGATCGATTCCATTGGCGACTGTTTGCCAGATATAAATGCCACTAAGATGGTGTCATCGCCAGACAGGGGTCCTGGCACCCAAGGGCCAAATTCCCCAGCATCATCAGGATATGGCAGCATTGAGAGTGGCACGCCAAAATCAGTTGTGTCGCCTGACTTGGATATTAGTCTCTCCTCGCCCATCAAGTTCTTGAAAGTGGATGTTACAGATGCATTATCAACTGCTACGGATGCTTCGCCAATGAACCAAGATGATGGCACATCTTCTAGGTAAAATAAAGTAACCTGCCATTATAATCTAGCTTGAGAGATGTAGACCTTCCATTGTTTAAAGAAATATGCTGGTATTCAGATTGACAGAAAAGTTGAAAAGAAACCTTTCGGACAGCGACTCTAGTATATCGGTGATTGACTGTTATCATTTTTATACTAAGATAACATGCACTCTAGCAGGTGGACTTACAATTTTCAAGATTGACCTTGTTTTGCTTGAGAGAATGATATGCCGTGAAACACTCTCCTTTCCTCCTTTTGTGTACAGAAACATACTCTTCTAATTGCCGTAATGTTCAGAATGGTGACATAGCTTTGTAAGATTTGAGGTTTTCACAGCGGCGAGTATGAAGATTTCTGTCTCCTGTGTAGTCTGGTAGATGTTTTTTATCATTTATTGTCAGATATTGTTTCATTTGTATGTCATAATAACAGCCATTGAATTGAAAGTGAATGGAGCCAACTCCCAGGCTTTCATTTATATCAGATATACCTCGGAAAAAACAGACAATGTCATTCTTCTTCTTCTTCTTCTTCTATGGCTCTCCGGTTCCATGGCCTCCTCAATTCTCCTCTTCCATTCGGTCCTCTGTTAGGCCCATCCGTCCGAGGCTTTGATCAAAGTTTCGAAACATCTTCCTTTTTACGGTGCAAGGTTGTTAGCCTTGCGACCAACCCCCAACCTGGAGGACCAGGGTACCTGTCTTAGTCTGACCTCTCCCCCTGGACCAATCTGTCTTTACTGTGAATTACATCATCTGGAACTTTACAGACCATCTAAAGTGACTCAGTTTTTACTTCTTTCACACACGTTTTAAAGAAGAAAGATGTTATAACCATTTTGTGATATATTTTTATAGTGAACCTGCTGGTGCTGTTATGCCAGTTGAGAAGTATGCAGAAGAGTACAACATGAAGCATAAAAGAAGAGGGAAAGCGGTCATCTTCAGCCATGACAAGTTTGCCGATAAATCCGTGCCTTCTCGAGATGGCTCTCATGCAGATATTCACAGTCTTGAAATAACTTACAAGGCTCTCGGCTTTGAAGTCACCACTTACGATAATCTGTTACACACAGAAATCAGAAATGTTATTAACAGCTGTAAGTATTTGAAAAAGCTGGTGAGAAACAGATTTTAACTGATTGCTCCGATTGTGTTGGTGAATATGTAATGAGATATACAAATGGATAATTCAGGACATTCGTTACCTTTGTGGAAGCTGAAGTTTAATTGCCTTGCTCACAAGCCTGCCATTGGACCATATTTTGAGTCTTTGCCATCAAACCATATTTCTGTAAGATCCATTTTAATAATGTCCTGTATCTTCCAAGTAGCATCTTTCTTCTATATTTATTGACCCAAGTTTTGAATACATTTGTAATTTTTACACTTTATGCACCAAATCCCCCCCCCATCTTATTTTTCTTGATCTAACACCCATACATTATTAAGTGAAGCGTCTACGTTATGAAACCCGTAATTATATAATTTTTTTCTGTTGTCAGTAAAAATACACTTCATCATTCTTCAGTCCACATGTTGTCTTCAGCACTCCATTCTTATACACCGCCAGTCTGTGTTCTTTCCTGTGGGTCAGGGAGCATTGTTTGACACTTACAAAACAGTGACATTTCTTCTTCTATGGCTCTCCGGCCCATATTTGGTCCATGGCCTCCTCAATTCTCCTCTTCTGTTAGGTCCGTCTGTCCGAGGCTTTGATGGAGGTTTCGGAACATCTTCCTTTTTACTGTGCAAGGTTGTTAGCCTTGCGACCAACCCCCAACCTACAGTGACATTATAATTTCGTAAATTATCGTGTTCATCAACTCTTTTAAACTTTGAAGGTGGCTGTCTTCTGGGTTGTAGCGCCACGTAGTCTGGTAGAAGTTTACAAAATTTCAGATGTACCTGCTGCCTTCATCACTGGGGCAATGAGTACAATCCAGAAGACAACCATCATCATGCTTACCACCACAAGAATTTTGAATCCTATTTATTATGGTTTATCATGATTACAGTGGCTGAGGAGGACCACTCGGACGCAGACTGCGTGATGGTGACAGTGCTGACACATGGGCAGGGGACCAACTATCTCCATGCAAAGGATGTTCTCTACAATGTGGATATGCTTTGGTCACCCTTCACAGCTGACAGTTGCGGCACCCTGGCTGGGAAACCAAAAATATTCATAATTCAGGTTGCAATTTTAGTGAAGTAGTATAACCAGTGTCCCAGTATGTACTACTGGCAACTTTTATTCAAATTATAAAATGTTTGTTAAAATATGTTTAAAGTGTTGCCACCGCCACTCCCAGAGAAAGAGCACTGGAGCGTAACACTGAAATGTATAGTTAAAATGATACTGAGAGAATTTGTATTTGTCGAGCTAGATCTCTAGGGACTTCATATGTAGCTTGAAATAGTACTGAATGTAAATTGCGGACACTTGCAACTGTTCAACCATTTTGTGATGTGACTGTACTGGTACAGTGACCCACAATTTGATCATACAAAGAAATTTAGTATTTGGGGGATCAACTTCAGAATAGCAACATTTTTTTATTGTCATCAGATAACAAAACTCCTATAAAAAATATAAAGAAGCCGATCCTGTCCCGTCTTTGATTTTATTTCCTATTTCTTTCAATTATACTTTAGTCTTCCATTTTTTTTATTCACCTTACATTTGTTTGGTTTTCTGGAAGTCCTGAGTTTATATCTTGGCTCAGAGAACAGTTATGATATATTTTTATAGTTGTTTCAATCTCTTATGGCAAATTTTGGAATTATAATTCAATGGAGGCTATAAACACTTTCTTCCATACCTTCACAATTTATTATATACATTTCTGCCACATGACACCATTTAGCCTGTGCAGATGATGGAATATTATTAAATGGGGGAATAAACAAATATAATTTACATTATAAATAAGTATAAAATCTTAATGTAAATTATTTGACAGAGGTTGCCAGCCATTGACTTTTGCATGGCCATAAATTTGTCAGTGGTAAAAAATTGGAGGGTACGAAAAAGGCCAGGTGCTAGAGTTATGCTGCTCAAACCAAGTTTCATGAAAATAAGTTGTTGTTAATTAAAACAAAGGGGGAACACACAAAATAAGAAAAGGAAACTAAATAGAAAGGGATTATTATGTTAAAGTATACCATGACCAATTGTAAGTTTGCATCTTGAAATATCATATTGTGTATATTCTGATATAGCTATATGATTATCACAGGCTTGTCGTGGTGATAAGTTAGATCCTGGCGTGAGATTGAAACAGAGAAGCCGCACAGAGACCGATTCGATTTCATCGTCATACAAAATTCCGACGCACGCTGATTTCCTGATTGCTTACAGCTCCGTGGAAGGTAAAAACATTTTTCTTTGTATCTGTGGTATAATTGCGTTGTGATCAAACATTTAATATGAAGAGGTCTATATAAAGAAGCAATCTAAAATAATTTAATTTGTGTATTCCGTATTGAAGACACTTATGACTGTCACATTCAGCTTCATGCTGTATACTTCTAGTCAATTCCCTGCAGTCATCTATACCAATATACTATTTTACTTTAAAATCAATTTCACACAAGACTTTTTAACTTGATTTTAATGTGTCTCATATGTCCAAGGTCAGACATCTTCATACTAACGAGAAAGTGTTTTTTGCTTTGTTGTGTCCATCTGTTATATTGTTATTGTATGAGTCGGGGATCAATCCCCGATGGGGGCAGAGGTTTTTTCCTCTAGCCTCTACATCCAGACGCACACCCGGCCTCCTATCCAGTTGGTACTGGGGTCTCTTCCCAGGGGTAAAGCACAGCTGGGGCATCACAGTGATCACTCACCCCCTTCTAGTGTGAGGTTAAGAATGAGTAGGAGCTATATCTCCTCTCGCTCCAAGCGCCTGAATGGTGAATAGTGGGACACATTCCAAATTATGAATTACGTAATTATTTTTCTTTAACCCTTTCTGTGCTTTGTATTTCATCCTCTGATCTGGATTTATTCGGTGTCTGATAACGTCAGTAGAAGATGTGTGTCTGAATTTACACCAACAGCCGATGATACTTATTTTTAGATTTTTGCCAGTAATCATTATGTAGCAGAAGAAAAATAACTTCTATGTATCGTGCATCACAGCTGATGCATGGTTCAGCTCACTGCCACGCCACAGTAACGTACTGTTAAACCCTAGAGTTGAATTCCAGCCAGCATATTGTCTGTTTCTTTCTAGGTTATTACTCTTGGAGGAATCCTGATGAAGGGACTTGGTTCATCCAGTGTCTGTGTAAGGAACTGCAAGAGCAAGCAGCGACGCGAGACTTGCTGAATATATTGACCCGAACATCCCGTCGAGTAGCAGTTGACCACGAATCGTACAATGATAAGGTTCCATGGCAACATCAGCAGAAACAAGTTCCATCTTTTAATTCAATGTTGATCCGTGACTTGTATTTCAGGCCAAAGATATGATAAACAGAGTAATTCGCTATTTAAGCCACATTCCATTGTCAGTTTAACGACATGATGTCTTGAGGTCCATGGTAAGAGAAGATCTGCGAGCCATTATAACACATTTATGATGGACGTTCCTCATTATACTTGGCGATTTATAGTTTGTTTACTTTTTTTTTTCGTATGGCAGTAAGTAGAATCAAACGACAAGCTCTCCGAATTTGAACAGGTATTCAGCAGCCCAATAGGAAGCATTGAAAGCACTACAGATTTTATCCTGGTCATTGATCCTAAAAATATAAATAAAAGAAAATGAAGTATCAATACGATGATATTCATCTACCCAAAGACAGGAGTTTGTCCAACTCCTGAAACATTTTGTATATGTAGTATACTTCAGACATGGACAATTTCCATGCTGTGATAAATACATGTCACAAGTCTTTAGAGGATCATTGTTTGGCTATTTAGAACAGAGTTGGTTGTTTTAAAAATACCAACCTGTTTCTTGAACATAATCACGAGGCTTAATATTTTAAATTAGCACAAAGTAAACCAGAATGTTGTTTTTATTCCCATACCATGTTTGTCTAGACTTCATGTGTGTTTAAACTACTTAACGTTCCTTCAAGATCTCAAGCAGAAGCACGAACCAGAGTATTAAAGGAAGTAGCACTAGTTAAGATTAGAATAAAATTTCTTCCCCTAAGAACAGTTGGAGATGGCATGATGTTTCTGGAAGAATTTGTTCATTGAATTAGTCTCGGTGGATAGAATGGAACCAACGGTTCAGAAGAACTGTGGTGGCGTGGCAAACAGCGTCACTTGCTAAACTGAAGTGCCATACATACAAATAATTTCTGAATTGAGACCAGGATGTTAGCATCTTAAGTAACACGCAATTGAACAAAGTTGTTATTTTGCTCATTTTTTTGTTTTTAGGGAATGTGAAATGAGCTGACAATAGATATTTTTTATCTTCCACAATTTCTTACTGATAAATGTCAAGTGTTCAATATTTATTGATCAGTATTTGGTTACAGAAACTCAGACAGGAAATTTGATTAATTGTGATTATTTCAACAGAGATGTTGTCTATTGTGTGTTATGTTAATGCTTGTTTTAATTATAAGTGTTTCTGTTTAATGTTCATACATCAAGCATACACAATTTTTTAGTCCCAGTTGTATTTTTTGTTTATTGTTTTTTGTTGTCATTTTGAGGTGTGTAATGCATGCATAATTATAGTAATGTTTTGTAAATGTATTTTACAAAATGTTGTAGTTAGAAACATTTTCATGCAAAATATTGATAGGCAGTGAGTATTTATACTATATGAATTAAATTTCATCTGATTTTTGCCTTGCATAAATTTGGCTACTACAAGCTAAGCTTCTTAACATCATTTACAAAGAAGATTTCTGTTCTCTGGGTTGTTGCGCTGCATAGTCTGGTCGTTGTTAACCAACATTTCAGAGGTCATACTGCCTCCGTCATCAGGGCGATGAATATTCATCGCCCTGATGATGGACGCATCAAGGACCTCTGAGACATTGGTAAACATCGACCAGACTGCACAGCGCAGCAACCCAGAAGACAGAAATCTTCATACTCACCGCTAAGAAAACCTCAAATCGTACATCTTTTACAAAGTAATACAGTGTATGTACAATAATATCAGTCCCAGAATGTTGTTATGTCCTTGAAATAACAGAAGACAGCTTGAAGGTGTTTGAGAACAGAGTGCCCTGGAGAATATTTGAATCTAAAGAGGGATTAAATCATAGAAGGCTTAAAAAAGAAGACTGCAGAATTAAAGGCTTCATAATTTGTGCTCTTTACCAAATATTAGTAGGATGATCTATTCAAGGAGCGTGAAGTGGATGGAGCATGTAACATGCGTGGGAGAATGAGAGTAACTATAAAATTTTGGTTAAACAGTCAGAAAGGTAGAGAACAGTTGAGCACATAGGCGGAGACAGAAGTTTGATAATATAGATGTTATGTAAATGGGCTGGGAGGTCGTGGGCAAGATTGATCTAGCTCGGGATGGGGACCACTGCCATGCTGTTCTGAACACAGTAATGAACTGTCGAGTTTCCTGAAAAAGTGTGGAGTTTCTTGACTGTCTGTGTAACCACCAGCATCTCAAGTAGGACAGTTCTCCGTGTAGTTAATGTCTAGCTTTTGAAATCACTGGCTGAATTGAATTATAGTGAGCTCAGCAGTACTTGCCTTGTCAGCTGAATCGTTAACTAGCAGAGAAAGATTTGTTGATATTTAACAACTTTCTAGGCTTGGTTCATAAAGCTCTTTTGGTAGGTGAGGTGGGAAAATGGGACTGGAGTAGACGTCAAAGCTGGAACTCTCTTAGTAATCTTCATATCTGAAGGACGTAAGTATCAAATTCTGAATCTCATATGTTCTATTTGAATACCAAGATAAATGAAATTATAGAATGTTCACATTAACGTTATTAAATTAACTATTATAGTACAATGCAAATCTGAGAGAAAATAATGCAAACTGGAAGATAACAATAATGATGGTAACAAATAGATTATGAAGCCATAATTGTGGTGATAAATTTACAATGGCATACTTTAATTAGCGAAAACTTAATTTGATTTTTTTTGAGACCTTATTCTGAACCAGAATGCTTCAAGCCTAGTGTGATAATTTTGCATTCCGGCACACCTCATTGCAAGTATGAAGTTAGAAGAAATTGTAGGGCCGGTCCTTTTGTGTACTGCCATTATGCAATCTAGGTGAAATCTTTCTTCCTGATATAGACCTTTTGGCCTAAGGGGATTATATAACAAAATTCCTTACATCTTTTGAGGGTTAAGCCCAAACATCCTCTATTTGGGTGGTATCCTAAAATCATTTTTGGTATCTTGCCAGAAATCATTCTGTGTAAATGTTCCTTACAGTTTTTCTGTTACTGTGTTATGAAATTTATTATCAGTGTAATGTTTACTTGCTTTTCCATAATGCCCAAAAGTTCTTAATTTCTTTTGTGAACAAAAAATGTGTAACCCAAAGTTCTTATGAAATGCATTTCTGCTTATATTAATCATTTTCTGTCATTACTTCAGATAGTCCATGGTTCACTACTATAAGTGAGAATTGGTGTAGCGAAAATCTTATAAATTTTAATTCAGGTATATTTTGGATTGTAAGGGTAGTGATGTGCCTCTTACAGCATCTCCTATCCAATTCCCAACCTTTGCCTCCACATGGTGCAACCTGTTCCTACTGAAAGACTCTGGGGACTGAGTCACAGCATTATAACTGTTGCATCAGGTACAGAGGAAATGCTGTACATGATAGCTGGTATGGACATAATATCGCTTTCAAGGCAAAACTTGGTGAAATAAGTATAATAAGTGACATCTGGCAGTAGCAAACATAAAATTTCCTTGTAGAGAAACTGCCGATTTATGCTGTGTGGTTTGACAAGGAAGAGTAACCATAGATTTGGGAGAGGGATTGGTAAATTAGTGTTTTGACTTCAAAGCTATTCACTGCACTCGATCGCAATGATTTAATATTTGAATTCCTCCCTTAAAACAAAGTATGCATGTGTGCTAGAGATAATGATCATGATAAGCAGCAAGAAACCCAAGGTATGTCACTGTGGAAACCTGTGAGATGGAGAATACTCGTTTATTGAATGCATGCTACTCAATTGCCTATCACCTTTGCCCGAGATGGCGGTTGATTGAAACATGGAGGAATGTTCACATTCAAAGTTTTTTCAAAATAATTTGGTTTTCTGCGCTTTTCAGACAATTTCCAGCATTTTTTGATTTTTCGAAAATTTTCAAAAATTTAAATATTTTTTCTTAACTGTCTCCAAGAGATGCTTGCCAAACTCGGTGAATGACTCACCCAGTCTCTGCCGGACTCGGCTCCTATCTCACTAGGTTGCTGCCTGAATCGGTGTCTGCAGCAACCGGACTCTGCAAGTCCGTGTCTGCCTCACGTGCTTTCTGCCGCACCTGGGCATCTCAGAGACGTCACGTCAGTGCCGTGTTATACAGAGACCGGTCCATGCAGTGCCCGAGTCAGGCGCAGACCGCATTCGTCAGAGACACTGTACATCAGAAACAGTCCGAGACAGACCGTGGAATTTTGAAAAATTTCAAAATTTTCAAAAAATCGAAAAATGCTGGAAATTGTCCAAAACGCGCACAAAACCAAAAAAATTTGAAGAATTCCACTTTCAAATTTTTTTCAAAATTTTCAAGAAATTTTGGTTTTGTGCGCTTTTCAGACAATTTCCCGCATTTTTTGATTTTTCGGAAATTTTGAAAAATTTCAATTTTTTTCAAAGGTCTGCTCAAGAGATGCATGCCACTCTCGCTGAATGCCACATCCAGTCTCTGACGGACTCGGCCTCAGTCTCAACCAAGTGCTGACTGCCTCGTTGTCTGCACCAAGCGGTCTCTGCAAGTCCGTGTCTGCCACACGTGCTGTCCGGCGCTCCTGAGCATCTCAGAGACGTC